AAGCTGGGTCTGAACGGAAATTCTCAGGTCTTGCGTCCTTTGTGCGGTTGTTTAATTCACAGATCTGTTCTTTTCTGTTGAAATTATAGCTCTGGCAGGTAATTTCCCTTTCACATAAGATATCACAGATATGAGGAGCTACCACCGCCATTTTATTGAAAATGATACCTCTGAGAGCCATGCCACGAATATTAATTTCTGTCCTGCATTGATCCTCAGCGGTCACAAGGTTGATGAACATAACACAGACAAGAAAATAAGAAAATCTCCACAGCATTATTCCTGATAAACGGAAATCATATATAGGTCTGGGTATCAACTAACGAACTTTTATCTTAAGGCTGACTAAGAACAGTGGATAGTTAAAGCAACAGCTCTAACCCCTAACCCCTAACCCTAACCCTAGGACTTGAGCAGAGTTTTGAAAAATTAAGAGGTAGAATTGCGCAAACTTATGCTGTTTTAAAACGTGTGTAAAATTTGGCATGAATGAGCAGACATAAAATGGAACGAGTAGATGCCTCAGCAAAATCTGTGGCGCTTTTGTTGAGAGAAAAAGTGAATACCGAAATAAGAGCCAAAAATGGAAAATGCCTGTCATTTTTTTACCTTATGGCCTTAATTCCTGGTACCAATGAAATGTATAAATTTCTCACCCGTTCAGCATTGTGAGAAACACGATTTGCGCGAGAAATAGGAGAGTTTTCGAAACAAAGTAAAATTCCATTTAGGTTCCGTTTTTGGTGCAATGTTGTCTTTTGTATAAACTCATAGTATATAAACCCATAGTGTCTTAGTGGTCGATTCCAATGACATTTATTTACCGTCAGTTGAATTGAATTCTCTTCGTATTCTTTAAGCGAAAGATGAGCTAATAGACAGCATTACCATATTAGCTTCTGTGTGATTAATTCGAGCGACGTTCTGTCAAGTTTTCGAATATCTTCTCGATTTAAATAGTTTCAAAAAGTCAAACTCATAGCCTACTTTCTTCGGGCAATGTCGAAAACGCATTGCACAAGAATTGATCACAAAAAAGAAACTTGTGGAGCTGGCAGTTGTGCACTGAATAAAGAGTCCGGCTGTTTTCAGCCCTTTCAGGTTGTGGCGTTGTTAAGGTTAATAATAATTCCTTTTTCTCAGTTTCTAAGACTTCGTTCGTTTATGTAGTGATGACTCTGAATTCCGCCACAAATCAGAGTCAATGTGCCAGTTTTTCGATAAACGTGGTTACCCTGATTCTGTCGTTCAAGTGGGTTACCACCGCGCTCAACTTATTGATCGGCATTCAGCACTACAAACGTCACTAAAGGAAGATTCCGACCGCATTCCATTCACTCTCGCGTTTCACCCTCACAACCACTCAGTTAAATCCATCATTCTTAAAAACTTTAAATTACTTCAAAACGATCCAGGGACAAGCACTATCTTTTCGCAGCCTCCGCTCATTTCATTCAAACGCGACAAAAACATAGGAAATGTATTGGTCAGAAGTTCTTTTCAGACTAATGACCAACCAGGCACTTTTAAATGCGCTCGTGCACGATGCAAAACGTGTCCTTTCATTCACAACACTGAGAAAATATCGGGACCCAAACGATCCATTAAGATCACCGATCACTTCACGTGCACCTCCGCCAATGTAATCTACTGCATAACTTGCACTTATTGCAAAAAGATTTACATCGGCGAAACAGGCAGAAGACTAGGTGACCGATTCCGAGAACACCTTCGCGACGTGGAGAGGAATGACAAGGACACATCGAAACCAGTCGCTAGACATTTTAACTTGCCTAATCATTCCAAGCAACATATGGCAATCTGCGGTCTTTCCCAGTTACACTTAGGTAGCACGGAAACCCGTAAACTCTTGAACAAAAGCTCATCTTTCAAACCGGCAGTCTAAATCCCACAGGTATCAACGAACGCTTTTCATTCCACTAATTTATTCGTGTTTTTCTCGTTGCCATGTTCCCACCAATCACGTAGCTCCATTTTCTGCCTTTAAAAGCAC